GTTCAGCCGCTCAGAGACTCCTTTGGGTAGTGAATGGCTGAGTATAAATCCAATCTCTTCTTCTTCTTATGTCTGGGTCAAGTGATGCTCTGTATTCTTAGTGCTGGGGGGGGCAACAGTGGGAGAGCTTCTAGTGTCCTGGCCCCGCTGGTGGACCTCCTGAGGGCACCTGGTATTTTTGGCCACTGTGTGACACAGAGTGTTGGACTGGATGGACCACTGTCCTGATCCAACATGGCCTCTCTTACGTTCTTATGTGTGTTCAGTCCAGCGGGCCAGTAGATAAGGCACAGCACACATCCTGCCCCCAAATCCCAGTCTGTACGGCACAGCAGCCTCAGCTCTGCAGAGGGCGACAAGCCGTACTTGATGTTGATTTGAGAGGGCATTCTTTGAGAAGTCCAAATGCCCAATGCCATGCAGTGCACTCACCACATGAAACAGAGGTCATCTATGACCAGGCAAGACCAGACGTAGCTCTAAACACACAGACTTACGGGCCGTGGCCAGCAGCTCTGGGACAATGTCGCTGGGAAATAGGGGTTTCTCCAGTCCCCGGAAATACAACTTCAGCACTCCCGCCACCGAATCCAAGTCGTGTTGCATGAAGCCGTCAGCCAGGGGGTCCTCGCCTGGTGAAAGGGGGGAAAAGGCATTACGGCATTTGCTTTCCCCTCCGTAATGAACTCACACAGTACCCCCCAACCCGGTAGAGCTTCTTATGCCTCTGAAGAAATTGCCAGACCAGGGAAAACTCCTCCTGAGTTTTTACATTGGTGGGGTGCAGGGGTCATTTCCTGCAGGAGCGCACAGGAGCGGAGCTCCGGCAGCAAAGAGACCAGGGGGCGGGCACATGCAACAAGCCCCGCCCCCTGCTCCCAGCAGCCCTCCGGCAGAGCAAGAAGCAGCCAGGTAAGTTGCAGAGCTCCCCCTGGCTCCCCGGTCCAAAACAGTCCAGTGGCACCTTTAAGACCAAGTTTTATTCAGGTACAAGTTCTCCCTCCTCTGCGAGGACAGATCTACATGTCCCCCCCCCCCCCCAAACAACCAGACAACCTTTTTTTTTCCCAAAATAGCTAGCAATCCAAAACAGTCCAGTGGAGCCTGAGCGGTGGGTGTTGCCTACTGACACACTTCCGATGATGTCAGCGGGTGTGGCATATGCAAATGAGATGCTAATGAGTTATGCTAATGAGCTCCGGCACCTCTTTTTCTACGACCACTGTATGTGTGTGTGTGTGTGTGTGTGTGTGTGTGTGTGTATTACCTTTCACCCAATATGCTCACCTTTCTCAAAGGCATTCCGGATCTCAGCCACCTGCGCTTGAGATCCCGGCACCCGAAAAATACCTTCATGCTGGAGCCCTGGGGAAAGAAACAACAGCGGGTTGATCATATTGATGTGAGAAGAAGAAGAAGAGATTGGATTTATACCCCGCCCTTCACTCGGGAGTTCTCAGAGCAGCTTACGAACTCCTTTCCCTTTCCCCTCCCCACAACAGACACCCTGTGAGGTAGGTGGGGCCTGAGACAGCTCTTTCGAGGACTGCTCCTGAGAGAACAGCTCTGAGAGAACTTGTGACTGGCCCAAGGTCACACCAGCAGCTGCATGTGGAGGAGGCGTGGGGAATCAGACCCGGTTCTCCCAGATTACAGTCCGCACAATTAACCACTACGCCAAACTGGCTCAGAAAACTGAGCTATTCCGTCTGACTTCTTTCCTCAGGCTGTGGCTGGGGGCTGTGATGGGGGGGGGGCGCCCAGGTCTTACCGTGGAGGTTTATGAAACGAATGCAGCTCTCCACGACCAACGGGACAGCTTGACCTGAGCCCTGGAGTTATGGGGAGGAAACACAAAGTCACGGTACAGTTTCTTCACGGCACATCAGGGAGAGGGGCGCTACGTGTATGCTGCTGGTTCACAGGGGAATGTAAAAGGCACAGAATGCACTGCCGGTGGTGGGAAATGTCACCAAGTTGCAGCCAATTTATGGCAACCCTGGATGGTTTTCAAGGCAAGAGACATTCAGAGGTGGTTTGGCCGTTGCCTGCCTCTGCGTAGCAACCCTGGACTTCCCTGGTGGTCTCCTGTCCAATGACTAACCCGGGTCAACTCTGCATCGCTTCTGAGATCTAACAAGATAGGGCAAACCTACGCCCTCCAGGACAAGGCAAGAGATGAGCAGAGGTGGTTTGCCGTTGCCTGCCCCTGTGTAGCAACCCTGGGCTTCCTTGACGGTCTCCCATCCAAATACTAACCAGGACTGACCCTGCTTTGCTTCTGAGATCTGACAAGATGGGGCTAGCCTGGGCCCTCCATGTCAAGGCAAGAGACGAACAGAAGTGGTTTTGCTGTTGCCTGCCTCTGCGTAGCAACCCTGGGCTTCCTTGACGGTCTCCCATCCAAATACTAACCAGGACTGACCCTGCTTTGCTTCTGAGATCTGACAAGATGGGGCTAGCCTGGGCCATCTAGGTCAGAGCAGAGACAAACAGGTGTGGTTTGCCCTTGCCTGCCTCTGCACAGCAACCTTGGACTTCCTTGGCGGTCTCCCATCCAAATACTACCTAGGGTTGACCCTGCTTAGCCATTATTTTTATGTCAGCTCCAATCCACCCCCAAGCCTGACCGCTGCTGGCCACCCCTCTCCCTCCCCTCCTGCAAGATTTAAACAGCCCTTCAGCTGATCCACGGGGAGCATGTGGCCCGCCGATCAGCTGGAGGGCCCATTAAGAAGAAGAAGAGGTTGGATTTATGCCCCGCCCTTCACTACCCTTTTCCCCTCCCCCTCCCCACCACAGACACCCTGTGAGCAATGTTCCCCCTAAGCTGAGTTAGTGTGAGCTAGCTCACAGTTCTTTAGCCTCCGGCTCACGCATTTTTGTCTTCGCTCAGGAAGGATGGCTCCAGAGCAAGCTGATTTATGCAGTAGCCAAATCGCTCACTCACAACTTTAATGGCAGTAGCTCACAAAGTAGAATTTGTGCTCACGAGACTCCACAGCTTAGAGGGAGCATTGCCTGTGAGGTAGGTGGGGCTGAGAGAGCTCTGAGAGAACTGGTCTTGAGAGAACAGCTCTGAGAGAACTTGTGACTGACCCAAGGTCACCCCGGCAGCTGCATGTGGAGGAGTGGGGAATCAAACCCAGCTCTCCCAGATTAGAGCCCGCGCTCCTAACTACTACGCCAAACCGGCTCCTAACCACTACGCCAAACCACTACACCGAACTGGTTTCCAGTTCTTTGGAGGCGGGTGAAATAGCCCTTTGGTCTCCAGAAGCATAGCTCCCCCTTGCCGTCTCCGGGAGATTTAGCCATGCCGGAATCTGAGTCCGAGATTTCGGGATCACCTTGATGCAGCGTGTTTCGAAAGGCAAAACCGGAAGCAGAACACACCCACGGCCCCCAAGCGATGGGAGTCTTTACCCTCTGCCCAGAATTCCGTCGGAATACCCAAACGTATTGTCCTCTCCTCTGACCGCTCTGTTTTCCCACCCACAAAAATCAATCACTAAGCGGGGAAAAGGAAGGATTGGGGGAGGAGGCGTGGCATCCCCCAAATCAGCAAGAACCATGCTTATGCAGACATGCAGAAATCTCATGCAAGCGTCAACCAAAATCTTGCAAACCCACAACGCCCTGGGTCTTTACAACTTCCCCGTTATTTAAACAATGCATACTGTCAGAGACCCTCCATCGGTAGTCTGGATGAATCACAATCGTTGGAGCCAGGGCTATTTTTGGGCAGGAACGCACAGGAACGGAGTTCCGGCTGGCTCCCGAGTTGGCCATGCCCAGCAGGAGCTCATTAGCATAACAGGCCACACCCAACAGCAGAAACTCATTCGGATTGGCTACATTAGGGGTGTGTGGCCTAACGTACAAAGGAGTTCCTGCTACAAAAAAAGGCCCTGGGTTTTGACAACAAACAAGGTAAACAGAATAACAAGCAAAAGTTGGGTGTGGCTGGATGACCACACTTCTGGTAACATGGGGGCATGGCCTAATATGCCAATGAGCGGTGCAGTCAGGGGGTGTGGCCCAATAGGCTAATGAGTTTCTGGTGTTGGGTGTGGCCTATTATGCTAATGAGTTCCGGCTGGGCTTTTTCTACAAAAAGAGCCCTGAAAAAGTCAACGATGGATCATTAGAGGGGATGACGCAAATGAATACAGGCGGTGAGAACAAAGCGGCTGTTTGAAACCCGGCAAGATCTGAGCAAAGTAAATATCCTCTATTACAGGGGTGTCGAACTCATTTGTTATGAGGGCCAGATCTGACATAAATGAGACCTTGTTGGGCCGGGCCATGTGTGTCATAAAATGTAATGCCAGGTAGCAGAGATATCAACTTTCTAAAGGACACAAACACAAAGGTGTTTTTTTTAACTTAAAATAAAAACATGCTTAAAACATGAGCCCTCTTGCGATATGTTGTTTATTTAACAGAGTCTGATAACTGATACCTCTTGCTCTGAATTACTGCATCGAAATCTCTGTGCTGTTGCAGTCTTGAGTATGCTGTTCAGGTGCGTCTCTGTAAGCTGCAAACCTACTTTTGATTTACGGACATTCACCCACAGAAATCTCATGCTCAGAGTTCTGAGTCTAGGACCCAGGGGAAAACATGAAGAAGAAGAGAAGAAGAGATTGGATTTATACCCCGCCCTTCACTTGGAGTCTCAGAGCGGCTTACAAACTCCTTTCCCTTTCCCTCCCCACAGCAGACATTCTGTGAGGTGGGTGGGGCTGAGAGAACTCTGACACAAACTGCTCTTTTTCAAGGACAGCTGTGCCAGAGCTTGTGACTGACCCAAGGTCACATCAGCAGGTGCAAGTGGAGGAGTGGGGAATCAAACCTGGTCCTCCCAGATTAGAGTCCGCACACTTAACCGCTACACCAAACAGTTCATGAAATGGCCGAGCAATTAAGAGAGTCTGGTGAAGCAAGCTATGATGCAGCAGCGGCAGCAGAACTGGAAGCAGGAGACGGCCGGTTCCACTGCGGGCCTGATGGAAGCCCTCCAGGGGCCTGATCTGCCCCCCGGGCCGCATGTTTGACACCCCTGCTCTATTAAATATACGTCCGCAGGTCAAAGGTCCCCAACAGGGTGCCCGTGGGCGCCAGAGCACCTACCAACACCTTTCTGAGCACCTGCCAAGTGCTTTTAGAAAGTGGGCGGGTCTAGGCGGGGCTTTTGTCCAGCAGCGATTCTGATTGGCTACGCATATTAAAAGGCAGACTTGCTAAACGGGGCTCCTAACTTGAATTGTTGAAGAATGGGGGTGGGGCGCAAGGAGGGAATCTCACCTTCCCCCATCTCCTGCTGTTGCAATCTTGAGTATGCTGTTCAGGTGTGTATCTGTTAGCTGCAAGACTACGATGACGCAGCAGCAGCAGAACTGGAAGAAGAAGCAGAAGACAGTTCCACTGGGGGCCTGATAGAAGCCCTCTGGGGGCCTGATCTGCCCCCCGGGCCGCATGTTTGACACCCCTGCTCTATTAAATATACGTCCGCAGGTCAAAGGTCCCCAACAGGGTGCCCGTGGGCGCCAGAGCACCTACCAACACCTTTCTGAGCACCTGCCAAGTGCTTTTAGAAAGTGGGTGGGTCTAGGCGGGGCTTTTGCCCAGCAGCGATTCTGATTGGCTACGCATATTAAAAGGCAGACTTGCTAAACAGGGCTTCTAACTTAAATTGTTGAAGAGTGGGGGTGGGGCGCAAGGGGGGAATCTCACCTTCCCCCTATCTCCAAGCCTGACACTGGTATAGGCCCCACCACCCATCTTGGAGCCCGGCTGCACTGGGAGGGGTGTTTGGGAGCTGCTCCGGGTTAGAGCAGCTCCCGGCGTCCACTGCTGCCAGGCCTGGGGTCAGCTGCCTCAACCTCTTGGGGGGGAAAGAGAATTTAACCCCCCTCCCGTGTATTTTTTTAAGATTTGGGGGGGGTTTTGCAAAACCTGGAGGATCCCCCAAGTATGCAGGAAACTCTGTTTAGTGTCAGTATGTCCCCAGTTCATAGGTTTAGATATCCACAGATGGGGGCCACATGTTGCCATTATTATTATTAGTAGTAGTAGTAAGGTAAAGGTTCCCTTGCTCGAAAGCCAGTCGAGTCCGACTCTAGGGTTGCGGTGCTCATCTCAGTTTCCAAGCCGAAGAGCCAGCGCTGTCCGAAGACGTTTCCGTGGTCATGTGGCCGGCATGACTAAACACCAAGGCGCACGGAACGCTGTCACCTTCCCACTGCAGTAGTACTCAGAAGCAATGCTCCCGCTAAGCTCCTGAGAGAACAGCTCTGAAAGACCTTGTGACTGACCCAAGGTCACCCAGCTGGCTGCATGTGGAGTCTGGTGAGCAAAAATTCTACTTAGTGAGCTACTGGCATTAAAGTTGTGAGCGAGCGATTTGGCTGCTGCATAAATTAGTTTGCTCTGGAGCCATCCTTTTTGAGCTAAGACAAAAATGTGTGAGCCGGAGGCTAAAAACTGTGAGCTAGCTCACACTAACTCAGCTTAGAGGGAACACTGCTCAGAAGCTGAAAAGACGGCGTTCTTGCTTTCAGAAAATGGTTCTACTCTATCCCACAGAGTCTCCTTGTTTGCTTTAGCGGCACCTAAGATTAGATCTGAGCTGCGGTGGCTCAAGTGGTTAAGACGCTGAACTGCAGGCTGTGGAAGGTCAGTAGTTCAGCAGTTCGAGACCCGGGTGTGCCGCATGACGGAGTGAGCTCCCGTCTCTCGTTCCAGCTCCTGCCAACCTAGCAGTTCGAAAGCAAGAAATTGCAAGTAGATAAATAGGTACCACTTCAGTGGGAAGGGAACAGCATTC